AAAAAAAAAAAGTTTCAGTCACATCTGCCCATCCCCACACATCCTGCTTTTTAAAATCTACTTGCTCATTGGCTAACAACTGGTCAATCATAAGTCATCAGCCAATGAACATACAGAACGTAAGACAAAGATTTAAAAAGGAATTAACTAAATTAATTAATCAATTACACCAGTAAACTAAACTAAAGCTGACCATCTGGTGTCTTTAAGGCACAATGCAGGTTTGAGACACTTTTATATTAGCTTTATTTTTCCAACCTAGAACTTACGTCCATGTTTTATGCTGTGTTTTGGAGCATAATGTTGCAGCTAGGTCAGTAATAGTATTTGGGCTGATTAAAGCCATTGTACTGAACCTCATTAGTGGTTTTGTTTCTTTGTAGGATGTTTTTTGCAATTATCTAACAAATGACACACACTGTTGTGATGGTTAACTGTACTTAAAAGTCAAGACAGTAATCCTGTTTTTGTGAGTGAAATCACATTATTTTATTAATCTGTTACTTATGACTAATGAGCACATGCATCCGTATATACATGGATGTAGTTTGCTAACCTTGCATTAAATGATAACTTCAGGCTCAAAATCCTTATCAAAATATTTACTTCTGTTAAAAAAAATACAAGATGGCTGCTAGCTAAATCTTCTGTTTGCAAGCTCACAAACAGGGTGCAACATTGGCTGCATCCATCTTTTACATACAGTCAATGGCTGCACTTTATCTCTATAGGGATTTTTTGAGGGCTCTACAACTATGTCCTAATGAACCATCAAAGAAACCACCAAACAGTCTACTGGGATTCACTGTGATTAAAGTGAGCAGGATTGCAGAACTAATGAGTAATGGAAAGACAACGGTCAATGTAATTTTGCATACTGACAAAAACAGGAGAAAAGCTTCACAAGGGGCAGAAAACACAGTGTCCTCACACGATGATTACTTCAGCATGGATTTGATTTCATTCACAAATAAAAAGGGGAAACAGCTGCAGACAGAATGAAATCAGCAAGCCGAGCACAACGGGCTCAGATCTAAAGCCCAGCGCAATCAATCAAAGCGTGTCACAGACATCTGTGTTTCATGAGTCTGAGTCTCGACAATAAGAAAAAGGGGAAAGTCGGGTATAAAATTAGAGCGAATCACAACACTTCACTGGCGTTTCTGCCTTTGACTTTGCTAAATTTCACACACAGCAAGTGTGGATCTTGTGGATCTTCCTCAACAACACTAAACTAAAAACTTTCGCGGATTTGAACAAACTTGGCCAGGGAGATTGATTAACGGAGGCGGCGACGAGGGCATGTTGGCCAGGTGCGGCACATCATCGCTCAGGTTAAAAAGGATTCATACAGTCTCACGTAAGACAACAAAAGCTCTGTGCATGGTGGCCCTCAGCCCAGCAGCTGGCAGGTGACATTTCTGCCAGCTTGGATGCACTCCACTCAGTGACATTAGGACACACACACACACACTTATCTAACTCTCAATGCAAGCCTGAACAGACACAAGTGCATCTGTCCAAGCATGCACACGTATACTTTAACACAAAACAGACGACAAACTGGAAGGAACAACTGCAATGCAATTTGTCTTAAGCCTCTTCCACACAATCAGGTCCCCCAGCACTGTCATTAATGTAAAATGTAAAATTCAGCTGCCACCTGCTGAACAGTTCGTTGCTATTAATAGCTCCTATTGCTTCATGATGCATGTAACTTATATAACAAGTCCACACAGTAAACAATATGCACACTAAAGAGAGTCAGTGCTTGACTAAATGACATTCTTAAGAGTAATCAGACATGGAAAAAAAAGTTAAAATATCACTTTAGATAACAAACGTAGTACGATAGTAGATAACAGATATTCATTAAAGACAAAAATCATTTGTTTATCTAGGAAATTGATTCAGAAGCATGTAGATGATTGCACGGGGGTAATTTTGAACAGCTGGATAGGAACATCAAATATCATCATTTAAATTCCTTGAAAGGTTTTGAGGGGAAAGAAAAAGAAACACTGGATGTTAAACACAAGTAAAACAAACACTCATGGTTCTTCTCACCTTCTCCTAGGCTATATCGCAGGCGGGCGTCCCATGCCTGCAGGGCCTCCCTGCTGTCAAAGCCCAGCAAAACAGCCTGATTCAGGCAGAGGATGGTCAGAGTAAAAGCCACACCCTCATACCACTGTCCAGCTTCCAAGCCGCAGATCTCCTCCAAGGTGATGCTCGCCCTCTCCTTGTTGCCGTGAACTTTCTCTGATTTGTCTTTAAAAACCAGCAACACGAGGCAGTCTGCAGGACAGACAATGAGCAGGAGACGAAACAAAGACAGAAGAACACAGTCTGCATTAAAACATTATTAAATTCTACTCTTTTTTTTAAGGTGTAACAGTTTATTTAAAAAAAATAAAAAAATAAAGTAAAATCAATACTGGAATCCCCAAATGACACTGACAGTTACTAACAGGATGTATTTTGACCCACAGTAGCTACTGTAGTGTCCTCTGTTTGTTGCCACCTTTCAAACAATCAGTGTCAACTGACAAAACAACACTGTGTGTGTCCGTGTATCATCCCTCTCCTTCACACACACTCGCATAACTGAGGCATGAGCACAGACAGCTGGGATAACATGACATCAAAGATTTGAAGAGCAGCAGCACTCAGCCTCACTGTGGAGCATGTTGAGCTGTGCAGCGCAACATACCCAAGAAACCTTTCTGCGGTAAAACTGAATGCGGTACAAATACAAGTTCACGCTAAATCCACTCACTTTTCCATAAAATATTTGAAAATGTGTGCAAATATAATGACTACTAGATTTTATTTCCGCAGAGCCGAAGCCTCGCAGGTAAGCGTGACTGTTCACATTCATGGTACATCTAAAAATACAGCGAGTCTCTGGCTCGGACTTTAGCACATTAGCTTTGAAGATGGGCTCAAATAAGAACCACAGGTTTGAAGCTTGTGTGATGTTGTTTTAGAAATAATCTGAAAGCCTGCTGTTGTACAGCAGAAGCAGTACACGTGGTAAAAATTAATAATTTATAAATGTAATTGTGTAAAAAGAAAAAGTAAACTGTGCAGAAATGCTTTCAAGAGTGAGTTTACAGCATGGGGGAAAAAGACAGTGTGTGGATTAAAAGCACCTTTGGCATCAGTTTTCCCATTTTTTTAAAACACAATCCCACGTTAAATGTTTGAGTCATTAAAAACGATTAATGAAATTCTTTTAGCTTGTGCTAATGTTTCAGCTCTTTTTCAGAACCATTGTGTAATATAGGTTTTACTAGAGGTGGGCAAGTGTGGATAGTATCAATATCATCTCTGGTATTGGTGTCAGATTGATGCTAGCTCAATAATAGGCTCCATACTTTGTTTCTATCCACTGGGTTCAGTATGTAGCCTGCTGAACTGTATTAAATAAATTATTATTATTTTGGAAACGAAAAAAAAATATACATATGTCAAAAATCCACTATTAAAAACGTCTGAACTTTGTGTTGACAGTCACGTCTATTTTATTTTAGCCCATAACACATTTAAACAACTGAAGTTTCCCCAAAGTGGCACATTTACATTACAGGCAAAATAGAAGGAAAAAACTGTTTATCTGCACGAAACTGCACAAAAACCTAATAATTGTGTTTTGCTCTGGTAATTACTTATTGGGAAAAGTTAAAATCATTGATTTAGTGTTCAGAATTTACAAATTAACAACAATTCACCAAATCTCCCCTAGATAAACTGCCTTTATAGGTTAGGTTTCAAAGTATCGGCAACACTGGTTCCGTATTTACTTGGTATCGGATCTACAACACAAGTTGCAGTATCACCCCACACACACACACACACACACACGTCTTTTAATACCAACTGTGGTTTGCACACATGTTGATTTTGAAATTCAAATGTATTGAATTTGTCATGCAAGCTTTATTTTAAAAGTTTTAGGTCTTTTTGTCCCTCCTTGGACGCCATAGCCTCCTGGGTCAAAGCTGTGTATTTGAACACAAACGCAGGCCCTTTGAAGCCGAGGCTTGTTGAGCTTTCACGCAACAGAAAACACAAGCAGTGCAACACCAGCTCACCGTCCTCCTCCAGCTTGTCGCGGCAGATCTGTGTAGCCGCTGTCAGATTTAATTTCAAAACAACAATGCGAGCGAGAAATGCTAAAAACAAAATTAGCTAGTTTTTAAGTTTTTTTTTTTACCTGCTACAGGCGACGGTTTGCGGAGCACGAGCCACCTAGTTTTCCACTGTGAAACAAAAGAAAAGTTTTTGGGGGGGTTTTAAAGCACTGGTCAAAGTGTGCATAGGAGATATCCGCATATTAAGACAAAGTAAAAGCAACCTTTTTCCCGTCTCTGAGTCTGGCGTATCCCTCCACGACAACAGAATCCGTCATCTTCAGTCATGGTTCCTGACAGCTGCAGAGTCGCTGCCTGAATGAGGGGTCACTTTCAAAATAGCTGCGCTCTCCTCTAGCGGGGCGCAAACTCGCCCCCCAGCAAGGAAGGCACATGGAAAATGGCATGACCAGTGTCTGTCTGTCTGTCTGTCTGCCTGCCTGTGTGTCCGTCTGCCGGCCATGCTGCTGCTGCCACCTGGGCTGGTACAGTGAGACGCTCCCGCGTGTTTAACATGCCACACGCCACTCTAACAGTAAAACCGAGCACGTTAATACATCAAACTAGACATATACACTCGCCGGACACTTTATTAGGTACACCTTTTCAACAGCTCGTTAATCAACCAATCACAGGGCAGCAACCATCTTTAGGATTCACGGAATGAAACGGAGGAAATGTACAGTGAGCGTCAGTTCTCAGCGAGATCGCCTTGTTGATGAGATTAGAGGAAGGAAACAGTAACTTGAATAGCATAAAAGAACATTGTGAATGTTCTTTTATTCACAATGTTGGGCTACAGCAGCAGAAGACCACACTGGGAGAGAACTAAGGAAACAGGAAACTGAGGCTATATAATTGTCATGGGCTCACCAACATTGGACAACAGAAGATTGAAAAAAATTGGTCCAGCGGGAAAACATCACCATGTCAATGAGCCGGCTCACTCCACCGTCACCTGATCTCAATCCAGCAGTGCACCTTTGTGGAGATGCATGTGGAGCAAATGTGTAATGCTATCATATCAGTATGGATCAATATGTGTACTAATCTTCTAATAAAGTGGCCATTGAATGTAGCACCACCCTTTTGCATTCATGTGGGGTCAAAATGTTAACGAGTTAAACTAAGCAGTTGCCAGGATTCGTGGGTTGTTTTTTTGTTCGTTTGTTTGTCTGTTGTTGTCTCACTGTGCTCTGTTTTTGTCTTTTTCTTTATTCCACCCAACCGGTTGTAGCAGACTGCTGCCCCTTCCTGAGCCTGCCTTTGCTGGAGGTTTGTTCCTGTTCCTTCCCACCATCACAAAGTGGTGATGGATTGTTGAAGTTTTCTTCAAAATACTGTAGGTCCTTTACAGTATAAAGCACTTTGAGGTGTTGCTGTGTTTTGGCACTAAATAAATAAATCTGATTCTGAATTGCATCAAATGGAAGTACACTGGACTGAAGGTTAAGTCAATGGAAAGCAACCAGAAAAAAACACAAAACAACTGGAAAAAGGTTTGACAATTAAACAAGTTATAAGGATTTTAACTGTGGACATATCACAGCGAACTGCTCTGCAGTTTGTTTGGTCCGCCTCCTCTGAAAGGCCTTGGTACAGTTGTTTTAGTCTGCACACCTGTGCAAAAGAACCACACCAAGGGCGGAAAGCAATCTGAAGTTCAATTTAAACGGAGTAAACAACTAAACACCGTGAAGGTGTACCGGTATTTAGAATTTCCAGAAAAAAGGTCACCCACACCCCGAGGTAATTTGTATCCATGCACTTCATTGATTTGAGAACCAAAGCAGGGCAGTCTAACTTCAGGGGTGTGTTTGGTGCCACCCAAGGTCTCCCAGACCCTGGAGCTAATCACATACACTCAGTGTCTCTGGACCTATTAAGGTCATTTTAAGCTTTTAATACCCCTTTATTATCTTTACATTCAGTTGTTCTTGGAGCTACTTTCTGTATTTGGCTTCATAGTTTTAGGTATCTGGAAAGTTTATCCACAAAACAACCTTAAAACTGAACTGTGCATATTAAAAGTACCACATCAAGTCTATACAGTCTTTTTATGTAATTGTACATATATCAGCAATAAATATATATTGTTTTTTACCCAGTTTCTGTTATTTTCTTAGAGATGTTTCACTGTTTCAAAGCTAATGTGCTTAACTAGTATAGTAAAAGGACTCAAGACCTTGAGATGAGCTATTTTTAATCCATCTATTATTTCTAAAGCCCATTTATATACTTAATTTAAAAAAAAAAAAAAAACTAAAGAGAGAAATATCTGATGAATGAACTGAACAGCAATACATATCAAATCTCAGAAAATCCAGCCTCGTGATAACAGAGAAAAGTCCACTTGGAGAAAAACATCATGGTATTCAGCTTGTAAGTGAACCTTGAGACTGGCTTGTTTTAATTACATTCACAACATATCACAGCTCTTTAACAAAGACACTCAAAGTTTGATGTCACTGAAAGTCATTGAAGGTTTATTCAGTCTCAAAATATTTCACAGTTAAACAAATAACCTGTAAACTTCCAGAAGCTTTACAATAATTAAAAAAAATTGTAAAAAAGTTCATATATAATATCTCTAAACATCTCATGCAGGAAAGGTTATTTCCAGGTAATGTCGTTTGGTGAAGGCTTGGGTTTGCGTTTGATCACTGAATCGATCCAGTCTATGTAATTCACTACTTTTGTGTAAACTCCGGGTTTATTGGAGCGGCCGCAGCCCTCCCCCCAGCTGACGATCCCGTACAAGAAGCTGACGTCATTCCTCCCACAAGCCAGCGGGCCCCCGGAGTCGCCCTGAGGAAACGCACAAGGGGATGTACACATGAATATACACGCAGATCACAGTGAAGGCACACAAACGGCTGAGTCACACACTTAAAAATGAATATATTGCTCAAAATTGCTCTCTACCTATGAGCTAAACAGTCAGTTGTCTCATTTCATTTAACAGGAAGGAGTTCAAATATTTTACACAGCAGGATGAGGGGGTAGTGTCGCACCACAGACATCTCTGAATATCACTGAGACCCTCGTTGCCTTCCCCCAACATTTCACTCAGGGGAATCCCTCCTGCCATCTTAAGTGCTGTTCCATTACTGTGAAACCTCGAGCCTGGCCTCTGATGTCATCCCCAACAGAGCCAAGGCGGGGGGTTAAGTACTGTACCGTCCCAGACACAGTGAAATAAAGACATTTGTTTTCTTCTTTCTTAAATTCACGTGTATTTAAGTTTGTATAGTCACGCATTAAATGAGATGTTGAAAAGGTAACGTTGATTTTTTTTAAACTCTAAAGTCTGTCATTGTAAAATAGATTTTTGGTTAAAATGTGATCTTCATGAAGCAAAGTAGTTCATATCTCCAATATCCAGCAGCTTCATATAATTGCAATGACCTGCAGCGGGATCACATGCAGCGTTTGATGCAGCGTGTAAGAGTGTAGTTGAGAGCAGGAGCATTAACACTGTGAGTTAGAACTATTAACACAATCTAACTCTTAATTTAAATACTGTTAAATAATTAAAGAAAAAACTAACAAAAATATACCATAAAATAAAAAAATGTAAAAAGTATGCTCAGCTTTTTGGTTCTGGCTGAGAGTAAAATAAGTGAAGCAGAATCTGAAATGAAAAAAAAAAATGTAATGACAGAAAAGAGATTAAATCGCAAAAAAGTTCCTGAAGTTAAAGTCCTATTGATATTCTTTATAAATAACTTGATAATAAGAGATAATATTGTCACTATTGCGCTCAATCGCCCACTTTCCCAAGTGAATTTGCCACCCTGATAAGGATAAGCGGAAGAGAATGGATGGATGGACCTACTCCACTGATGTTTCCGAAAAGCCTTTTATAGAGTTTTAAGCTTTTAACCCAGCCAACCAGCTATGAGGTGAATCATGACTATAAAGGAAAAGATTCAGATAAACAATTAAAGGGAAATAAAAAGAAAAAAAATGATTAGTTAAAACAGTGAAGGAACTACTCATCCCATAATGTTTTGCAATTCATCGAATTTACAGCAAACGACTTCTAACCTTCTAACCTTCCTTTAGATATGTCCATGGTAACCTTCATATCCAACCACGAGAGATACCTCTGTTTAAATTCAGCATTTTCTTCATGACATAGTAAATAAAACTTGTTTCCCCAAAAACAAAGTTGTTATCATATGTTATCATGGTTTCTTGTGACACATATCATCATTTCACAATGTCATAGCAGCTCTACTATGTATAGTTATAGTATTATGGCTCATAATCAGAACGTGACTATGAGCTTTATTTCCAGGACCTCACTGCTGAGCTCTATAGTGCTGGTGAATCTGGTGTCTTAACTGCAAATAGAACATTGAGCCAGGAGCTAATTTAAAATTTAAAAAGATGTTTCTATCATGGGACTCTGTGTTAGGACACCAGCACTTCCTTGGCAGAATTACATCAAAACATGACAGTCCTCAAAATGCTTCCCTACCTGGCACGCATCAACGCAGCCGTTAATCCCTGCACAAATCATGTCACTGGTGACATGGTTGCCATACACTTCTGGCTTCTTGCAGTTATCGTGAGGAGTCAGTCTTACTCCAGCCTCCTGCAGAGTGGAGTATCCCATTCCCTCTGTCAAATAAAACACAAATGAGTCGTGTTAGATAAAAGCCCAGTAACACCGAGCTGTCACCCCGTATTTTTTCCCGGTCCTTATGCTAAGCTAAGCTAGGCTAATCGTCTCCCGGCTGTGACAGATTTAGCCCTCAAGATGAAAGCAAATTACTATTTTCCAAAGTGACAAAATGTTTCTTTTATGTGTGTTAAAAATAAATCTGAAACTTTTCTCAAAGACACATAGCAGCGCAAACAATTTTGGCCCCACCCTCACGGTTTAAGCGTGTAAACAAATAAATAATTCACTGGAGGTGCACGACAAATGTGCTCCCTGTGATCAATGCACCAATGTAAATAGTTGTCATCGTGACAAAACGGAAATGACACAGCTCTGCCATGACCTCCTCATTACTCACTCTCTTGTGTATGTCCCCAGCCACTAATGGTGCAGCAGTAGTAATCGGGGAACGTCATGCTTTTGTCTGGGAGACAGATGGGCCTGATGAACGGGGTTTTCTTCACACATCGCCCGTCCTGCTTCTTCAGTTTGATTAGAACTGCCAAACAGAAATGAAATGTTATGAAACAGGAAAAGAAATGAAGCAAAGGTATGAAGCGAGTGGCTGACTTCGCCTTGGGAAAATGCCACACCCAACTGTCAATATACATATATGTGTGCATCTGTGTTTGTGTGTGTTTTTATTGCGGGGGTGCAGAGGGACACAGCTGTTCAGTGAAGCACAGCTGTGCATACAGACTGGGTTCTTAAGTGGGTTTGTGTGTTTCTGAACAGGGACAAGAGGTCTTCCAGTTTATGTGAGTCACTGGCATATGTGTGCGCGTGTGTGTGTGTGTATGCGTTAAATAATTACCAATGTCATGCAGTGTTGGGTTAAACACTGAGAAGTGCCTTGGAAAGATGTAGTCCTCCACTCCAAATGTCCTCGTGTTGGGACTGGTGGTATTAAAGCTATGCTGGCCCAGGACCACACGGATTTGAGATTTCAGGGGGCTGAAGAAAGACATTCTTAATTAATTCATTATAGTATACCAGTATACCAAAGTCCACACTCACAAAGCTCATCAAGTCAAAATAAACTTGAGGTAACTGGAGTACTTCACCTTGTTTTTCGTGAAATCTGGTGGGAAAATTAGAGAACCCATAATACCTTCACAGAACATTTGTTTGAGCTTTTAGCAGCACAGTCAATCACATTTGGCCTTTAAGGGGGGTGAAAAAGGAAGCCAATGCAGAACTTCCAAATGCTGCAATTAAACGGGTGTTTTTCCTGCCATTTGGAAAGTAGTCGATGAGTATTTGTTTGAGTATTAAGTGCAAACTATGGACGAACGCATGAATCTGCTAGCAAACAAAACAATACCAAAAGTTAAAGTTATGCATTATTAAAGAGAATATAGCTTCCAGGTCTAAAAGGTGAAGCAAATGCAGACGTGCCTTAAACCAGCCCTTGCTTGGCATTATGCTTACATTGCTTGAGAGTTGCCTGCCCTTTTGGATGTGATATAACTGCATGTCACTCAGGAAAACTGTGCATTTTGCGACCACTTGGTGAGTGGTTGCTGGAGACTGCTAGCCCTCATTAGCTAAACTCAGTTGCAAAGACGATGCTGTATCAAAAAACGTGTTGGCTGCAAGCAGATTCTTTGCAGTTTGCATGAAAGACAGCATTTTGTATAATTGCTAACTGCTAGCAAAGCGGTACTTAAACTTGGAGAAAGTGCAACGCAAACCAGAAACAGTCTCTGTTTCTGGCATCGCACTTTGTAAAATCTTACTGCTGTTTGCAAAGTAGTTGGAAAGTGTTTGCAGGCAAGTTGAAAACACGACCAAAGTAATAACAAAGAGGTTTTCACTAATTAATTGACATTTTATGCTGGTGACTGGCAGTTGCTAAGGATTCAGTGACTGGTCTCTAGCCCTGTTTGTCTGGGGCTTTAGCCATTACTTTTCCAGGAGCGGTATATAGCTACAGGATGCTAACCAAGCTTACCAACCAATCATTAGCTGATAATTTAGCACAGCGTCCTACCATCCAAATGTGGTCATTCAAGATGGCAAAAAGACCATTCTTATCATGATTGTTACACCTGTAGGAACCATAGTAGCAACAATAGACAGGAAGAGAACAATGACACACAAAGGGAGTCAGACTGGTTGACCGATCTTTTAGCCATGTGGCATGCATTCTTACCACTTCGTCACTTGGGCTAAAAATCAGTCTAATTTTTATTACACTACTTTAAAGTCTAATAATTAAAATCTAATGATTTTAATGTCACTTGTGCTGTAAAAAAAATCCACTTAATTCTGTAATTTTCCTTCCTAAAGCACCATGCTGGCTATAAGATAGTTAAACCCCTGCGATGTTGATAATGCTATTTTATATTATGAATTTTAATTAATACTTTCTAATAAGAAATCCAATCATGCCCCAACTGTACTAAAACACAGTTGTAGCAGTAGACATGGGGCTTAAAAAGAAAGCCTTGCAGATACCATATATTGTATTTTACTATATGCACTCCGCTGTGTAGGTCCAGTGCAACATTCAGTTGCTTTAGCTAAAGATTTAAACTTGTGGATGTCAGTAAACAGACATCTGTTTTACTGACATCAGAGGAAGGTGCTAACATTTGCATGTAAACATTACAACATGCATATTTAGACACGTTTGTTATATAATACAGAGAGAATATATTACTGTTTAAAATTCAAGAAATGTGACTTTTTGTCAAGCTTCCTTTAGTCTTTCATAGACTGACTCAAAAGGGGATACGATTTCTTAAAAGACTCACACTTTCCAAGGTTAAGAGATAACACTGTGTAGAGGGGAAAAAATGGCTGGAAAAACTCATAGCGTTGCCTTTTTTCCACTAATGTGTGTAACATCCTCTGCAGCGGTAGAATTCAATACATACTTGCTGAAGAAGCAGTGGGCCGCAGACACGACCCAGCAAGAGGAGATGAGAGTGCCGCCGCAGAAGTCTGACTGTCCGATGTAAATGGCTGCCATCCATGGATGACTACCTTCCAGAGACGAAGTTCCACCCATTATCCTCCCTCTGGCTGTCGATAACCTCTTCTTGTGCTTTTTCCCGCATAAGGGTTTTTTGGCCGGCTTGGAGGGTTTGGGTTTTTCAATGGTGGGCAGGACGTTGAATGGAGTAAACCTCAGAGAAGAAGCTGAGAAAAGTTCAAACAGAGGATTATTTTCAGCTCAACTTGGACACACCAAAATGCCACTTTCTAAAAAGAGCTAAAAGACGCTAACAGATAAGAAACTACAAATCAATCAACTAGCTTAGATTTAGACTTTTTTTTTTTTTTTAAACTAGCTTCCTAAATACCTCTTCTGAATAATTTTGAATCTACTGCTGGTTGATTTCCCCCTGCAAGAAGCACAAAAAACAAAAATAGTCATTTCTATAAGGTGATGATGTTCAGTGTGGCAAAGCTTCCTCTGGCTGCAAATCATGTGTTGAGGATGATCAGGAAGAGGATTATGCATACCCCTGGCATCATGACAGACAGACAGCTGTTGCAAACCCCACTCACCACATCAACATCTGGCTCCACCTGACGTGACGTGTTGATTCAGGGTGAGTAATGTCTTATTATTTCCCCCATATCTAACCTAGCCAATGTTTTTCCTTTTT